AACTACATCCCAGTTATAGTTCTACTTGGAGGATCATGGCACTCAGTAAGTAAGGTTAGAAGTACCTTAACTGGGGTTAATAGTAGTTATAAGTATAGTTACCCTAATTCTAACCCTGGTTACTAAGTCCCATGATCCTTTAGGTACCTACTGAAGGCAAGGTTCCTGAGCAGTATGCTATTGACCTGTTTTTTTCTTTTGGGGGTCCCCTTGGTATGCTCTTACTGCTGATCGTTTACATAGTTTTTTTGAAAAAATGTGGAGTACTAGGCCTAAAACCGAGTAGTAGGAAAAAGGGTACCCTTTTAAGAATTGGGCAAATCAGAAACCCTAAACCCTCATCCCTAAAACCCGGTAGTACCCTTATAGACCCCTTTAAAGGAGCCCTTGTGGTCCCTTTAACAAGGCTACTGTTAATATAATCTGTGCTGCTCAGAAACTAGGACCAGGAGTAGGCCCTAATTCCTTGTTTTAGGGTTTAGGTTCCCTTATAATAACACCCTTTAAACCCAAAAAGGCACCCTTCTTTTTCCTAGGATACTCTTAGGTCTAGGAATGTGCTACTTGGAGGGTCGGGGGCCTTAGTAAGTAGGTAGTAAGTAGACTTATAAGTACCCTAAAAGGGGGCCCTAACTGGGGTTATGGTACTTATAAGTCCTTAAAATAACCAGTTACTAAGTCCCCCTAAACCCTAAACCCTTATAGGATCCTTATAGATCCCTTTAAAGGACCCCCAAAGCAACCCCTTATAGTTACTAAGTCCCCCGACCCTCCAAGTACTCTCTCAGAAACCTCGCAGGCCAGCTTGGCGGCCATCCGCCAGTCAGTGGGAAAGGCCGGGTGAGACCGGGGAGGTGATCTCTGGCTTTTCTTTGGGATTTAATGTAGGGGTTGGGTACGGTCCCCACTCAGTAACAGTTGGATAATCGTAATATAGAGATATAAGGACCTTAATAGTAGCCCTATTGTAGACTGTTGCTGTATGGGGGCCGTACCCAATATAGGGGCCTGAAAAAAAAGGATTCGGTGCTTCCGCACGGCTCAGGACAGAAGTCATTGAAGTTATCAGACTAACGGGTGAGTCGCTTCGTAGGGCGACCGACATAAATCAAGCGAACATCGAAACAAACACGTTTCAGTGCCATGTAGACCTGGATGAATAAGCCTCTGCGCTGTTCAAGGCAAGCAAATAAACAGGGGTCTACATTGCGGCTTTCAGGATCAGCTGAACAGTTTGCATGGCTAGTTCTCCAAAATTTGGGCCCTTTGTGGTTCAAAGTCCTTTTTATGAGGGCGCCGCAGTTGCTATTTCGGGAACCTCAAAGGAACCCCATTTTAGAGAACCATCCTGATAATACCCGTGCACTCACACTCGCAGCTTTGAGCGAAAGAACTGGTCCTCATGTCCTCCTGACCCTGAACCTTGTCGATATATATATATATATATATATATATATATATATATACAGACATGTATGTATGTCTGTGTGTGTATACATATATATATATATATGTATATATATATATATATATATATATACATGTGGGGATGTACACATACGTGTATGAATACATACATACATATATATATATATACATATATACATATATTTATGTATAAACTCATATTCTCTCATGCTTACATAGATATACACACATATGTGTATATATCTATATATATATACATATATATATATATATATTCTACATATGTTATATATCTACAGCCTAATTCGATACCGCAGGCGGCTTTCTCAGCGTGGCTTTGGGGTTTAAGTTTAGGGTTCAGTTTGGGAATCTTGACTAGGGTCGAGGGCTTTAAGGCTCCAATCTATCCTTTGTTTGCATCGCGGTGCTGCTCCTCTACGGATATTCTTGCGTGGAGGGTCTCACGACAAATCAGATTCCTCTGAAGTCTGCACTTCGCTGCCCGAAACATCTAGCATCACCACTGCATAGTTACATGAAGCACAAGGACGTTGAACTAAGCCCGAAAGCATTGTCTGCCTGACCCTAAACCCTAAAGCCAATTGACTGCTGGGTCGGCATGCTTCGAGTCACGCTGGTCTCGGGGGCAGAGCTGACGAGCATTCCTCTCGCGGAGCTGAGCGATGTGAAGGCCTTGAAGCAGAGATTAATCTAGGGACCTTTTTATAATTAGAATAGAGGTTGGGGGTATATTACACTGTAAATATGCTGATCTGAAGGCCTTGAAGCAGCGATTGCATCGGCAGCACGGCCTGCCGCCGCGTTTCAGGCAGAGACTGGTGCAAGAGGGCAACACTGTGGATGACACTATGAAGTTGGACGCTCCGATGGACCTTCAAGTTGTGGCAATGGCGTTCTCCGATCCTTCCGATGAGCAGAAGTCCGAGCTGTGGCATGCAATCGACGAAAACTCCGTGGACAAGGCATTGGGGGGGCAGGAAGCTGTCTCGGAAGGTAAAGCCCGGATTTTCGGGCAGCCGACTCTCCGCATTGTTCTCCGAAAAGAACGGGCGTAGTTTGGGAGAAGCCCGAAACCCCAACCCCAAAGCCTCACTTTGTTGGACAGCCCTGAGGTTGAAGAGCTGCTTCACATCCCCATAAACCCAGATGCAGCCATCCGTGGTGACGACACAGCGATGATGGTTGCACTCTGGAGACACAACTTCGATGTCGTAAAGCTGCTCCTTGAGGCTGGTGCTCAAGTGGGCGGCCGGGACGGCAGAACGATGCTGATGATGTGATGGCAGCCAGGCTGGGTAGTCCTTGTGCCCTCCTCGAGCCATCTGCGTGAGAAAGGCTCTCCGGCGCTGATCTGTGCGGCCTACTTCGAGGTTGGGCTAACTGTCGCGAAGACCAGGAGGCCAATCAAAATGACTTGCAGTTGCCACTATCCAACACTGATTCGATTTGGGCTGCGCAGTTGCTCCTGCAGGACGCTGCCTCCACACGGTATTGGCCAGGCCTCGACGCGTCGCACGATGAGGGAAAAGAGTGCTGAAGTCCGGATATGTCGTTCCACCTACTGTGTCGGATTTAGAACTCTTCGGGTATGGATATGGGAGTTTCCGAAAATTATGGAATCCCGAACAAAGTACCCTGAATAGTAGGATCCCGATTCAAAGGACCCCCAAAGCAAGGCACCCCTAATTTTCGGAAACTCCCATATGCTAAAAACCTGCAAGGAATCATGAAGCTTCCAGCCGCATCTTGGGCCGGGTGGGTCACAACTTCGTTCATCCCGAGGCTGCCACGCCTTAAAGCCCCAAATCCGACACCTTGTAAAATCTTCGAACCCAAAAGCCCTGTGCCCTAGCGAGCCCTAAAGCCATAAGCCTTAGGTCCTTTATGGGATTGCGGTGACGGCGCGCCAAGATTTCTTAAAGTGCTCTTATCATTCTAGAAGGGCTCTTACCATACGGGCTACGGGATTCTGACGGCTCCGTAATTCTTTGTCAGTTGCTGCTTCTGTTTCGAAAGGCGGTGACGAAGGGGTTCAGGGTTGGGAGTTTGGAGTTCGATGACTTCATATAGGGGCCTTAACCATTAGACTAGGGGTTCCTTTAAAGGGATCTATAGGGGCTACTATAATGGTACCGTGATAAAGGGTTCTTAATAATTAGAATAGGGTTTCGGGTTTAGGGAACGCCCTTATCTGAACTTCCAAGGCGCACAGACCCGTAAAGAGCTTTCAACCCCATACTACAAGACAGAAGTGGGAGTTTCCGAAATTAGGGGTACCTTTCTTGGGGTCCTTATAACAAGGATCCTATCATTTGGACTACTACATTAGAGTCCCCTATTTTCGGAAACTCGCAAGTCGGTTTTGTGTAGGATACGCCCTGCTTGCGCATACTGTCAGGAGCCAGGTGCCCCAAATATCCCGAAGGCTAAGTCCTCAGCCCTCAAGCCTTAAGGCTCCATGTACCTACATAATCGTACATACTTAGGCCACCTTAGCCCTTTAAGGCCTTAGTATTTATATATGGGCACATGGAGCCTTAAGGGAAGCCTGTACCCTAAGCTAAGCTTAAAGCCTAAAGCCTTGCATTCCCAAACCCGAAAACCCAGAAGCCCTACCAAGTCCTCCCCCTAGCAGATTGCAAGCGAAGACAAGCTCATCCGAGTTGTGGCGCGCAGCGCTGCATTTCGTGGATGCGGAGGTAGAGTCAAGAACTAGAAGGGGGAAGAATGCTTGGGGTGCATGGTGTAGGGTCTAGGGTTTAGGGTTTAAAGGTTTAGGGAATCAGATGTAGAATCAGATCAGGGCAGGGGGTGTGCATTATTATGGTACAGTCACACAATTTTGCTGATTCTTCATAGTTGATTGTAGGGTTTCGTGTTGAAGGATCTCGAGCAGGCTGTATCCGGAAGTCACACTGGTCTTCTATTTCCGAACACAGCTTGGCCACAGTGTCTAAAACCCTAAACCCGAAACCCTGAATCCTAAATCCTGAACCCTAAACCCTAGACCCTTCAAGGGCATCGTTGCACATCAGTTCAGGCCCAAAGACCTCAATCCTAAACGGAGGAACTTGCTTTAGGAGCCCAGGTACCTAAAGCAAGTTACGGGCTTGCGGGTACTACAAGTGTATATACGATGTATATATTATTTAGTTATATAGGGTTTAGGGGGCATCCCAAACGTAGGAACTTGTTCTAGGAGCCCAGTTACCTAAAGCAAGTTAGATGTATGTTTATTTAGTTATATAGGGTTTCAGGGGCAGTGCCTGGGCTCCTAGCTTCCTTGCTTGCTGCAACATGGCCCTGCTGCGCATCATGCAGCTCTCGGGGGAAGAGCTGACGAGTATTCCTCTCGTGGAGCTGAGCGATGTGAGAGCTTTGAAGCAGCGCTTTATCTAAGGACCCTTTTATGATTAGAATAGAGTTGGGGCGGGGCAATTATATATACTATAATTATAATGATCTGAAGGCATTGAAGCAGCGATTGCATCGGCAGCACAGCCTACCACCGCGTTTCAGGCAGAGGCTGCTGCAAGAGGGTAGCACTTTGGATGATGACGTCAAGTTGGAGACCGAGATGGATCTGCAGGTTCCCGGCCCTCATCCCTAAAATCAGGACCAACTCAGATCTTTTCAGCTCTATCTTAAGAAAAGTCTCGCCCCCGTGCAGTAAAACCACAAGGCCAAAACCCTAACCCCTACAACAAAGAAGCTTCTGATGGTCAAGCCGGAAAAGAGCCCTTAGATAAGACAAAAAGCGAGGTTGTGGTTACGACGTTCTCCGACATTTCCGAGGACGAGCGAAGAGCCCAAAGAATCTTCTTAGGCTGTTAATTGATAGGATATATACTATCCTATTATAGGATATATAGGCTATTTATAAATAGCCTAAATAGTCTATTATAGGATATGTAAATATCCTAAAATAGACTAATTTTCTATGTCTTGAAATGCCATCGTATTGGCATTGAGCTGCAAGGCCACAATAAGTTGCTTGCATCAGTGCCTTCACTTGGCATGTGAAAGGGTCAGCAGGAAGCCAAAGGCTCCTAAGGTTGAGCTAGGATTCGTAGCGAGACAGGAAACCGAAGGCTAGATCTAGAGTAATGATCGAGAGGAACAGGAAGCCGAAGGCTCCTCTAGAGTAATGATCGACAGGAAGCCCAAGGCTCCTCTAGAGTGTTTGCATGCCTGTAGAGTGTGAGTGCTTGTTTAATGCATGTGCATATATCTGCAGCTTTTGTGCTCGAAGCTCTTAAGCTAGTGCCCTTCGAAGCCATGAGGGTGGCAGCTCTTGTGCTGCTGGTGGCCGTGTGGGGCCGTGTCGACGATGGATGGGAAGTCGTTCGCACGGCCCCTGAAGATGGTGCAGCTGGTGCTGGTGCTGCCCCGAACCAGCCGATGCAGGTGGACGAGGAGGGCCCTCCGGAAGTGCCAGTGCCGGTGCAGGCGGAAGTGATCCCCGGTGCTGGTGCTGCAGGTCCGGAAGTGCCAGTGCAGGCGGAAGTGATCCCCGGTACTGGTGCTGCAGGTCCGGAAATGCCAATGCCGATGGAGGCGGAAGTGATCGACCTGAGCTTCGAGGAATCTGCGGAGCTCCATGAGGCGGCGGAGAAAGCGAAGGCAGCCGCTGCCGCTGAGGCGGCTGAGAGGGCCAAGGCTGCCGCTGAGGCGGCTGAGAGGGCCAAGGCTGCCGCTGAGGCGGCTCAGAGGGCGAAGCTCGAAGAAGCTGAGAAAAAGAAGGCAGAAGCTCTAGCAAGGGCTCAACAGAAGACGAAGATGCACGAGGAGGCTGCCAAAAAAACTCACGAGGCAGCAGAGAGGCTAGCTGAGCTTTGCATGGCTGAAGAAGAGGCAGCAGCCCGTTTGGAGCAACTGCTGCAGCAGGCGGCCTCCAGCTCAGGCGCCACTTCAAAAATTTAGGAAGCCAATGGCTCCTTCAGCTTTATAAGTATAGATCAGGCAGCCACAGGCTCCTAAGCTCCGGTCCGGCCTGCAGGTGCTCAAAGCTCCACGTGGAGACCGGGTGCACCTGGCCCAGAGCAGACTCAAAGCCCAGGCTCGATCCCGACAAAATCTTTTAATCTAAGACAATGGCTCCTAAGCTCCTGTCCGGCCTGCAGGTTGTCAAAGCTCCACGGCTGCACCTGGCTCGGAGCAGACTCAAGGCCCAGGCTCGACCCCGACAAGTTCTAAGGCTTAATATAGGAAGCCCATGGCTCCTTCAGCTTTTAAGTAGGATGGATCAGGCAGCCACAGGCTCCTAAGCTCTGGTCCGGCCTGCAGGTTGTCAAAGCTCCCCGTGGGCAACTGGTCCGGAGCAGACTCAAGGCCCAGGCTGGACCCGGCAAAATCTAAGGCATGTAATCGATCCAGATCCCTGCTGCAGGTGCTGGAGTTCCCCCGTGGCGGCGAGCTGTTCCTGAAAGTCCACCACCGCCGCAAGGGCCGCCGCCGCAAGGGTGGCAAACTCAACCGCCGCAAGGGCCGCCGCCGCAAGGGTGGCATACTCAACCGCCGCAAGGGCCGCCGCCGTTCAGCTGGCCTCAAGGACATGCTTGGGCTCCAGGCTACCCTTGGCAGTTTCCTCAAGCATGGCCTGGAGTCACGTGGCCTCCTCCGCTAGGCTGGCCCAGCTGCACGTGGCCACAAGGTCCACTTCAAGCTCCACCTCAAGGTCCACTTCAAGCTCCACCTCAAGGTCCTCAAGCTCCACCTCAAGTTCCTCAAGCTCCACCTCAAGTTCCACTTCAAGCTCAAGGTGAAGTTCACTTTCAAGCTCAAGCACAAGCTTCACCTCGACCTCCACCTCCACCACCTCAAGTTGAACCTCAAGCTCGAGAAGCTCCACTCCCACCGCAGGAACCTCCACGTCCACAAGCTGAAGGTCGACCAGAAGCTGCTGGGTTTTCAGGTGGACAAGCTCGTGCAGGACATGGTTTAATCAGGTAGCCAGCGGCTCCTTTTTTACAGGATTTATAAATCAGGTAGCCAGCGGCTCCTTTTTTACAGGATATTGGTGGCATCGTAATGCTTGCTTCCAGGACCTCGCCTCGACCTACGATGGTGCAAAGTCTGCCATGCCCAGAGCTACTACCAGTCCGGCACATGTGTCAACCCGGCCTGCGAAGCTTAGCTTATTTTGAGACCCTAGACCCTAAACCCCTAAACCCTCAACCCTAAGGCCGAAATTTAATCCATACAGCCGAGGCATTGTACACGGGCAAACGTCCAACCACGGGGGGGTGGCGCTTAAAGCGAGGAACCCGTGGCAAGAAGCGGGCTGAGTGGTGGAGCAAGCGGCACGGAGGCCAGTGTGTTATAAATAGCAGGCAGCCTTGGGCTCCTGTAAGTATATATATATATATATTATAAATAGCAGGCAGCCTCGGGCTCCTTCCTATAAGTATATATCCTATAAGTATATTATATATAATATATTATATTATATATTATATATATATATGTAGATAACTCCTTAGAGTGTTGTCCCTGCCCATGCAAGTAAACCCCCCTGCAGGTGCTTCTGGCTCCAAGGGCCAGGATGACGAGGAAGATGACGATGAAGAAGAGGAAGACGATCAGACATGGGGCCCCTGGAATCCCAAAGATGGCTCGAACGGTGACAAGAACGGCGGTGGATGGGGCTCCTCTGGTGGATGGGGTTCCTCGCAAAGCTGGGGAACTCCAGCCGTGTGACCATGCAGCGAGCATAATGCACGATCGGTTCTTGCAGAAAAAAGTTTTGTGTCCGTGTTGTGTACTGTAAGTGACTTAAGGCAGGAAGCCTCAGGCTCCTTGAAGTGGTAGAGGTGCAGCAATTATAACAGGAGCACTATATGCACCCTAAACCTTAAACCCTTAAACCCTAAAGCCCCAAACCCTAAACCCGCCTGCGAGCTTCTTGCAGTTTTTCAATAGGGCAGGAAGCCTCAGGCTCCTCAGAAGGTTTAGGACAGGAAGCCTCAGGCTCCTCAGAGGGTTTAGAACAGGAAGCCTTGGGCTCCTGAAGCTTGAAGCTAGAGTTTGACCGTGGCCGAGGATTACTGTAGCACTCTAGAGGCTCCCATGTCAGCCCAGGCCCCTTGTCATCTGCATACCGTGCTGCAGTCCTGGAGCTCAAGACAAGACGTGTTTCACCCTCGCTTGAAGCCATGAGCCAGAGTGCCTTGGACGTGTTCTTCGGTGGAAAGGGTAGTGAGCCAGAGCTCGACACTCAGCAAGAAGACACTCAAGAAGTGGAGGTAGTTCAGGAAGTCCCGGAGCCTCAAGAGCCTGAAGCTAGCGAGGTTGAGGCTGCACCCAAGGCCAAGGCCAAGGCCAAAGCCAAGGCCAAGGCCAAGGCCAAGGCCAAAGCCAAGGCCAAGGCAAAGGCGAAGGCCAAAAGCAAGGCCGCCGAGGAGCCTAAAGCAAAGGCCAAAGGCAAGGCGGCAAAGTCCGAGAAGTCCAGCGAGGACGAGAAGGCGGGCGACGAGGCCGTGGCGAAGGAGGAGAAGCAGCAGGAGTCGAGCCAGGAGCACGAGCAGGACGAGAAGGCCGACAGCGACAGCAAGGCCACCAAGCCCCAAGCCAAGGCCAAGGCGAAGGCCAAAGCCAAGGCCAAAGCCAAGGCCAAGGGCAAGGGAAGCACGGTCGAAGAGCCGAACCCCCCCGACAACGGTACGGAGAAGCGACCGGGCAGCCCGCCGGAGGAAAGCAGCAAGGCGAAAAAGTCTCGCTCGGACCAGGACCGTGAGAAAGCGGCGAAGCTGGGCGACCTGCAGCTTTGCAACAGCGAGCCCCAGCCGCCTGCCGGGCAGGGGGAAAGCAGGGACAAGAACAAGGCATGGTGGTTCTCGAAGCACTTGAGCACCATGCCGGACGATATCCAGAAGTTGTTTCTCTCTGAGAAAGTGTCACGGGTGCCTTGCCACATTTTGATATCTAGGCTTTGGCCCTATAAAGGAGGCACCGTCAGAGGCAGCCTTTGGCTCCTGCTATAATTGCCATAGGCTTTTGATCCTTGAGGTAGCCTTTGGCTCCTGCTGTGCAACCATCTGAGGCCGACAAGACGAAGCTCATCAATGGTGCGGTTGAGAAGAAATCCGGGGGCAAGGCCGGCCAGATGTACAAGCTGAACACCGAGTCCGCCGTGCTCCAGCAGCTGAGCACCTTCTACAAGAAGGTTTGTGGCAAGGACAAGGTGAAGGGCAAACCCAGAGCACTGATGGTGGCCAAGCTGGGAGGGGAGGAAGCTTTCAAGAAAGCTCTGGCCACCGGGGATGTGTATGAGGTGAACAACAATGGTTCCTTGTTCTACTGCTTCAGAGAGATCGTCGTCACCAATGAGACTGGCACCAACAATAGGATGTCGACATCGAAGCTACGGAGCATTTAGAGGCTTATGTTTTAAAAGCTTGAATGAGCTATAGATACTAAGTTTTGTTCCCATCAGCTCAGGAAGCCCGACCAGAGCATCACCGACTCCGCCGCCGAGGGATTCGACAGCTTCTTCGCAAACTTCCAACCATGCCTGGAACCGGACCGTGCTGCTGGATGTGGCTCAGAGCTCCAGGGTGGCCTTCTGGCTTTGTGTGACAAACCGGGAGCAGAGAGCTGGACTGCGGAAGCTAGTACGAAGGTGGAGGAAGCCTTGCAGTGGGCAAATGCCACGAGGATCAGTGTTTCCAAAGTGCTTTCAAAGGAGACGGCAGCTTTGAGCAAAAGCTCGGTGTGGACGACCCTCAAGGGCCAGCTCCAGAAGGCTTGGGAGGACTTGATGCCCTTGCACTCGGATCTCGAGAAAGCGAAGCTCTTCAAGAACCTTTCGCTTGC